ACTCTTTACACACACAATCCTTGTGCACATCCATCCATCCATCCATCCATCCATCCATCCATCCATCCATCCATCCATCCATCCATCCATCCATCCCCTTGAGGCCACACTCCACCACCTGAGATCCGACCTCCCCGCTGCAGACCTGCCCAGCCGGCTGGCAGCACAGGAGATTTACCTCCATTATTAACCCAATTAGTGGATTATTGGAGGCCCAAGTTGATGAGGGCGTGCATCCTCCCCAAAGACTCAACTGGTATCTGCTTTCAGGGAGGCAGCTGGGGAGGGAGCTGGAAGTTGCCTCAGTGTGAGCTCCTGATGGTGCTCCTCTCCCCTCCACAGTGAGGGTATTCTCACACCCTCAGCTAGTTTTTACACCTCCTCCTTGGAGCCCCATTCCCAAACCCTTTGGACCTCCCTCTGGAAGATAGTGTTGTGACAGCTTCTGAGGCTCTGAGCATCCCACAGGCTCCAGTGGGGCCAGGAAGTGCCCTGGGGGGCAGCAATGGGAGCAGGTGCCTGGCACCACCACCACTGCTCAGCACTGTGGGCTGGGCAAGAGGTGGCCTTGGAGGGGGCTTAGCCCTCAAACCCTGCCTCAAGGGTCCATGCAATTCCAAGACTGTGACACTGGTACGGGCATGCAGATGCCTAAACACACTGGGACACCCCATGTGTGCCTGTACATGGTGTACATGGGTGTGTTCAGACTCATGTGGGCACACACACACACACACACCCACACCCACAGCCATATGGATCCATGCACACCTGCATGCTCATATGGACCCATAAACACATTCCAGCACTTCCATGGGTTCACACAAGCTCTGCATGCTCCTGTGCATCCACACAGACACACTGGGCCTCCCAAGGATTGCTACACACAGGGGCACGCAGGTGGGTCCACATACACACACGTACCTCCACACTTACATGTGGACTTATACAGCTGCATACACTCAGTTTGGTCTGTGGGCACACAAACCCCCAGAACACCTCTGTTTGCCCTTCCAGCCACACCCCAGCAGCACCCTTGTCCTGTCCTATGCCCTCCACTGCTGCTGGGTTGCCAGAGCTGTTGGAGTTCCAGGGATTGGCACACTGACCCTTGCTGCTGATGCCACCTCCTCGCTGCAGGTGATCCCAGATTAGGGGCACAGCTCTGCTCACAGGTTTGCTAGAGAAAAGCCTCCAGGCAGACATGGATGGGGCAATGTGTCCACTTTTCCCTCCCTGATTCTGCAGTGTAACCAGAGACCCTCTAATTTAGCCCTGGGAGCCCTTGGTCCTGCCCGTAGGTTGAAGATACACTGACGGTGAGGAGGGGACTGTGGCATGGAGACCACTACCCTCTCCTCAGTGTCCCCCTCTTCAGCCACCTCCATTCCCTGAACATTCCTGACTCTATTTCTCCATCCTCAGGGACAGCACCACAGGAGAAAGCAATAGGGACAGAGATAGGAGGGAGCACACCATTCATTTTGGGATGACCCTCTGTGTCACGAGGAGGTCCTTGCCTACAGGGGCACACACACCTCCATGCTCTGAGATGTGAATGCGCACATCACAGCTGGCAAGCCTTCCCTAAATGCATGTTAAGGACAGGTGGGTGGGTGCAAGAGGCAACTCCTGGCATCAGGGACAGGCAAGGCAGGAGGAACAGCCACTCCAGGGTTAGGCTGAGGATAATGGCAAACAGCTGCTGGCAAAACCAGCCACCCCCAAATTAACCACTGAGGCTACCAGACACTCTGGAGTTCCTAAAGGGCTGGCTGGGGCTCACCCCTGCAGCTGCTCCTGGGAAGGGAGGAAGGAGCTTCAGAGGATCCTGATCCCCCCATTCACAGATGGGTGTGAACATGCCAGAGGGGCCCTGGCAGGGAGGGCATCCTCCTGCCAGCAAACACTCTGCTAACAGAGAGCTGGATGCAAAGCCCAGATGTTTGAGTCCCTCCCACCCCAGGGAATGGAGAAGAAAGCCCTGGGTTCTGGTGCTGTTCTTCTATCACTGGAGGAAACCAGCACACCCATCCCTGTCTATATGCATGGTTTCCCTAGGGGGAAAGCTGAATTCATGGAGCTGAACTTGGCACCTGAAATACCAGGCTCTTACCCGTGCCCTCCAAGTCAAACATAATGCAGCACCACAGAATCAAAACCTGGAGGCACCCCAGCCCTTGGGGAAGCTGGGGTTCGTGGCTAATGCATAATCACACCCCACTTGGTACCCCCGACCTCAGGGCTGGGTCTGCCTGACAGCCCTGGGTGTGGAGACCTCCCAGACCTTTGCCCAGGTCTCTACCTATGTTGTCCTTATCAATGTACATAAACCGGCGCCGGGGGCTGATGCAAGAGGCAGGGGTGAGGGGGTCTCTCAGCCTCCTAACACTGCAGCAGCCCTCCCAGTCAGAGCAAAGGTCTCACCAGCCCCCCCTCCCCAAACCAGCACCTCAGGAAGCTCATAAAACTACAGCATACATGTGGGATATTTCCCCAAAAAGCTCCTCTGCGCAAAGCAGCATTTGCCTGTTAACTCGGTGGGTTTTGCCATAACCACCTCGTCCTCTGCTCCCATTTTTAGCACCACTGTGCTGTGTGGAAACCCTTCCCTGGCTGGTCCTGCACCAACCTCCCACCCCATCCCCATCAAGACATCCTCCCCACTGCAGAGAGATGGGGGAAGTCTCTCTCTGCCCACCTTCTGCCAAACAGCCTGGATTTGGTGGTCTCTGTTCACTTAGCTGTGCCCCCATCCAGGAGGATGAGAGCAGGGACAAGCCCTGAATCCCACCCTGGGTGACAGCATGATGGTTTGGGCATTTTCAAGCAGAGAGTCCTGGTGGGAAATACAGTTCTGGCCACTACAAGGGTCTCTCTCCACCTGCAGGACCCTCACAACCACACTGCCACTACCCCGGAGCTTTCCAGCAGACAGACACACACTGCCCCCTCACCTCCCCCACAGCATCACAGCCCAACCCCTGGGAAACCTCCAAAAGCTGAAGCACAGCCACCCTCCCTACTGAGTCCCTGCAGAGAGTGGAGAACCTGTTCCCCAGGCTGGGTGAGGCACAGCCCTGCAGCCTGGGGAAGACCCAGCAGGGACATGTCCCTCCCCGGCAGGGGTATGTCCCCTCCTGCATGATCCCAGGGGAGGGACAGGAGTGACAGCCACCCTGCAGACCCCAAAGCAAGCTGGCACTGCAGCCTGCTCCTAACTGCAGAAGGACATCCCGTTGTTCCCTGGGCTGGCTGGGACATGCCACAAGGTGGGAAACACAGGCGTGGGTCTCTGGATGAGGGGTCCATCACTTGTCCAATCAGGGTTGAAAAAACCCAAAGAGAGTAAACAAGGAACGAGCCAGGTCTCACCCTGGGAAGCTGTGGCAGGATTTATCCTGCACCCCAACCTCTCCTGTCATCCCTCTCCCACTGTTCACAACATTCCTGCCCTGCACAAGGAGCGCGGGCAGCCCCAGACAGGGGCAGGGCGGGAGGCTGAAGGACGAGAAATGCCGGGGATGCTTTCCTAGCCTCCCTGGGAGGGAGGAGCTGCTTCCCACCTCCCGGCTGACCCCGGGAACCGGACAGTCAGCCTTTTTCTGTGCAGCGGGGTGTAATGTAACACTTCCCGGACGAGCTGTTTGGCCTGTGCAGCTCACCCACCCCGGCCCTCCCCGGGCGGCTCCAAGGCAGCGCCAGGCTCTGGCGGCATCCCCGGGCACAGCCGGGGGGAATGTGCTGCCCGTGCCCTGTCTGCACCTCTGCCTGCTGCCTTGTAGGCAGGGGATGACCCCCGGTCCCCCAAAATAACAAGGTGTTGAGCAATTTGAAACAGAAAAGGCAGCAGCACGCCCCCAAAGCAGCCAAAAGTTGGGTCCCTGCTGCTGTTCCCTTGCTCTCCTGCCAGAACCGGCTGAGACCAAAGTGCCCTCGTCCTCCTGTCCCTGAGCAGCACCGTCCTAAAAAGCCACACAACAGCTGTATGACAACATTTCTGTCTGTTCTATCCCCTCACCACATCTTCCCTGTCACCCACTGTGCCTCTCTCTCCCCCACAAGGAAGCTGAGCACAAACCTGCCCTGGTGCTGTGCACGCTGTGCCCACACCCTTGCATGCAAAGGCACCCTGCATGCTGTGTGCAAACCAGAGCTTGCACAACACGGCTCAGATGAGATCCACACGCGTTAAATACAGGGGGACTTTTCTTCCATCCTTTACTAAAGCTCCTGAAGCCCTTTCTGCATGTCCTCAGCTGCAGAAGGGTCTCCCCTACGCCCACCAGGAATGAGGGGACAGGGTGTATGTGCTACTTCCTCCATCTGTAATACACCCTGGCCCTTGCAGAGACACAAGAACTCAGCTCCATGGCTCGCCAGCTCCTTGGGGTGACCACACACCAGAGCCCTTGCCCTTTTTCATCTCTGCAAAACCCTGTGGACAGGGGTCAGCCTGTTTTACTCGTTATAGAAGGCAGCAGGATGGAGCACAGATCAGGGTGGGCACAGGGAGATGCCTGGACACTGGACACCCTATCATGATGCAGGGCCTGGGGACAGGCACAGGGGACACCGAGGTGGGGTCATGAAGCAGGGCTGAAATGGGGTTTAGTAGCAGTGAGATGGGGAGCACATAGGATGACGACAATGCCTATAAGGTGGGACAGGGCTTAGGGATAGGAGAAGTGAGGAGCATTCAGGGGGTACCCATTTAGGAAAGGATGAGGTTTGGGGGCAGTGGGTGAATACTGGCAGAGTTTCATTTAGAGCGGGATTGCAATAATGTCTGGGGGTTAATGGGAATATGGGGGATGTCCACTCAGGGTGGGTCTGGGCTGGGGCGTGGTGTTGCTCATTTAGGGTGAGATACAGACAAGGTTTGGGAGCAGTGGGGGGCATAAGGGTTGTCCACTCAGGGAAAGCTGGACCCGAGTTTGGGGGGACACCGGGGATGCCTGCGGGGAGCAGCCGGTGCCGGGGCAGCGATGCCTCCTTACCTGCTTGAACTGCTCCTCGTAGGTCCATTCGTGGTGCGGTGGTGGCGGTGGGTCGCGGGGCTCCCCTTCTTCCTCCTCTTCCTCCTCCTCCTCCTCGTCCTCCTCCTCCTCCCCCGCAGCGGCGAGCGGCGGGCGCGGGCCGGAGGCCGGGCGGCGGCGGGGAGCGGCGGGCGGCGGCCCGGGGCCGGGGCCGGGCTCCACCGGGGGCCGTCGGGGAGCGCCGTCGGGGCCGCGGGCCAGGCGGGCCGCCTGCTGCCGCTGCAGGCTCTCCATCACCGCCGCCAAGCGCAGCCCCCCCGCCGGCCCCGGCCCCCGCGGCGGGGCGGCCGGCTGCGGGCACAGGGCACGGCCTCAGCGCTGCCTCCGGAGCCGGAGGAGGAGGAGGGAAGGGAGGAAGCATCCCCCACCCCACCCGCTCTCCCCGCCACTCCCGGGGGCCTTGCCCAAAAGTTGCCCGCGGAGCCGTCGCCGCGCCGGGCGCGGCTCCCGCCGCCGGAGGGGCTTCGTCCCCCGCCGGGACCCCCGGCACTCTGCCCCGCGGGGGACCCGGCCCTCCGGTGCCACATCCCCGCTCCTCCGGGCGACGCCGTCCCCGCTCCTGCCGGACACGGGTCCGACCCCAGGAGTCTCCTTCCTCCATCCCACCCGTGTCGTGTTGGGACTCCCGCCCCAGTTCCACTGCGAACCGCGTCCTACCGAGGACCCCTTTCCTCCCCGGTCCCAACGGAGACATCCGCCCCGACGGGGAACGCTCTCCTGCAGAACCCCCACCGCCCGTCCCCGCCGGGGACCCTGTCCCGATCCCGCCGGAAGGTCTCGCCGGGCGCCCTGTCCTCTCGGGACGCTCCTCCCGCTCCCACCGGGATCGCCGATCCCGATCCCGCTCCCTGTCCAACGCGGTGTCCCTACCCCGCTCCCGCCATGCACCCCCGCGTCGCCGGAGCCCCTCCGGCCGCTCCGTCCCTCACCAGGGCGGGTTTGGCCGCCAGGCTGGGGTTTTCCACCATGCCGCCGGCTCCGAGCGCCGCCCGGGGCTCGCCCCGCCGTCCCGGGGGGCACGGCCGGCTGCTCCGCCCGGTCCCGGCCCCGGCCCGGCGCTCACATGGCGCCGCGCCCGCCGATATTTCTTTTATTCCGCAGCAGATGAGGGTGGGTGGGATTTTTCCCTCTTTTCTTTCTTTCTCTCTTTCTTCTTTTTTTTTTTTTTTTTTTTTTTTTTTTTTTTTTTTTTTTTTTTTTTTGCAACAAGTGGCAGTCAGACAGCAACACCCCTCCCCGCTCCCATTTGCTAGCGCACGTCTAGGGAGTCACCCGGGGAGGGCTGGGCTTACGGCAGCCCCGCGGGATCGCCCCGCACCGGCCCGCCGAGAGCCGGCCCGCGGCCGCGGGAGGCAGCGGGACCCGGGCTGGGGGCGCGGCGGGCTGGGAGACCCCCAGTCTGTGTCCATGTGCTGGACGAGGGGAGTGCGTGGGGGTGTGTGCAGGCTGTGCACACACAGACTTGTGAGGAGAAGGGAGTGTGAAGGAGGGAGGGTGTGTGAGGGGTCTGTGCACACGTGTGTAGGAGGGTGCTGCATCCATCGCGCACCTTTTAGAGCGTCTGTCTGTGTGTGTGGATAGCTGTGTGTGCTGGGAGAAGGTGAGTGTGTGTGTGTGCTCATTGCCTGCCTGCAGTGGGATGGAGCCTCCCCCACACGTGTGTAAGCAGGGTGTCGAGCACCCCTGTGCCTCTGCACAGTGGGAGAAGTGAGTGCATTAAACGTGTGGGAGCCCCCACACACCAACGGGAGTGTGCCCGCGGTGTAAGGGGTGTGAACACCCTGGTGGTGCGTGTGGAAGATGTGTGTCCATCACCTGGAGCAGTGACCATGCACACCCATGTGAGAAGCAGCGTGCACTGTCAGAGGGGCTGAGTGCCTGCAGTGTGCACACACGTGTGTTTGCTCTTATAGGACAATAATAAAAGCCCTCTATGTGTTTGTGGGGAACCTGGGGGTGTGTGTTTCATGTGTTCACCAGTTGGTGTGTGCAATCTCTCTTGGAAGGGGCAGGAGTGCACACATGTGCCTTTTTGGGGGAGGTGGGTGTGTGTGCTCATGCTACCAATCCATGTGCAGGCACAAAGGGGTGTCTGGGGCAAGCTCCAAATGCTGAATCCTGAGCTCCATCCTCAAGGGCTGGGGTATCACAGCAATGTGATCCATGACCCCCAGCCTGGGACTTCGAAGGGATCTTTGTGGCAGGTGCTGTGGGTGCCTGGCCCCTGGCTGGAGGGGTCAGATTGTAATGTGGCCTGGATGCCCAAAGAGGCTTTCTGGCACAGGTAGAACAAGGGCATATGTCTCTGTCACTGGAGTGGCTCAATGCTCCTGGCTTGCCCTGTGTCCCTGCTTGCAGTGGGGTAAACTGTGGCACCAGGGTATCATCAAGTGTGTCTGCAGATGCCAGACAAGGATGTAAGACGAGGTGAGAGCACGGCACCTCTCTGCCTTGGCTGCTGCCCACTGGCAGCATCCCTTGACTGTTTCCTCCACCTGCCTGTCTGCCAGATTTTCCTGACTTCTTTATGGAGGAAGCTTTGCCAGGGGGCAAAGGAAGCACCTCCCTTCCTTGGGCTTTTTTTGGCCAGGGCAGCTTAGGATTTACATGGATGCCTGGGGAGCAGCATTGCCCCACAACACTGGGACACAAGGGACAGTGGCTTTGATTCCATCCCACAGCCAGAGCAGTTTGCCACTGAGACTTCCCACTGCTGCACTGGGTTTTGGTGGCATGGGATGACAGGAAGCTGGGTGGCAAGGGCTGGTGGCTCTGTCCCCTCCATGGCCATCTGTGTGCTCCAGGGGCCAGGGGCAGCCAGCATGAGCCAAATCCTCCCTTTTCCTTGAAGCGTCTTGAGGAAAAACAGCCAGTGGCCATGCTGATTGCAGGAGCTGACTTCGCTCTCAGGCTCCACGACCCAGCTCTGTCCTTTTCACCACTTCCCTCTGTGGGGAAAAGCTGTTGCTTCTGTGCTCTCCAGTTTCCCTATGAACATCTCCTGAGAAGCTACCCCATGTCCTGCCGTGGCTCTGGTGATTCTCAGGGCTCCTTCAGCTCCTGGCACCTCAGTGCATGTGACACAGTGCGCCATGCTCACCAGGGAGGCTGTCCTGGAAAAATCAGACCATTCCCTGGGAGCACAGGGCAGCTCCCGACCCTGCAGGGCCCCCAGGCACTGTTTATCTTTGCACAGGAGATAAATTAGCTGTCGGCCATCCTATTTCAGGGCTGGACAGCTGTAGCTTGCACTGGCCCATCCCATCCCGCTGCGGCAGAGGCAGGGACCTCCTGGTTCTTGCCAGCCCCTCTGAGTGCTAGTCAGTGTGGCACTCTTGTTGACTTGCCATGGGAAGATGAGACCTGGCCCTATTTCAGACGGATCCACAGGGCCAGATGACCCTCAGGACTCATTGCACAGGACCCCATGGTTCCAGCTTCCCCTCCCAGTGCTGCTGCCTTGCACCCCACTGTGGTGCACCCTCTGCTCTGGGCTGTGCCTTATGCCCTGCACACTGAAAGCTGGGCTGGGTGGGGTGAGACAGACATGGTGACTTCTCCATGGCCCAACAGGAACCCAAGTGTTTGGGGAAGCTCCCCCTCTGCAAGGCAGAGGGGTTGGGGTGCTTGGGTCAGTTTAGCACCCAGGCCAGCTAGTGGCAGCACAAGGTCTCCAGAGGGTGCAGCGTGTCCCATTGCCTTGGGCATGGCCACCAAGACACCTGTCCTACTCAGCTCCTCTCTAGAACCTCCACAGTGATAGCGTAACCTCCACAGCTCTGGCGTTCTGCACGTGTGTCATGAAGTATGTCAGGCTCTCCTTGGGGCAAGCAAGCAGGACCGTGTTCTCTTTGCCCCACTGCTCAGCATCCGCACCCATGGGGTCTGGTGATGCTTCCAGCTGGAGAGAAATTCCCCAAATGGCTATTGACAGCTGCAGCTGAGGCGGCACAGATGGATAGTGGGGGTATAGATGGGCACAGCAGACAGCAGAGCAGAGTGAGAGATACTTGGAGCAGAGAGATACTGCAGGAGGAATCAAGAGATAGATCCTGAGGGCTGATCAATACCCACTGCATGTGGAGGGACAGCAAGATAAAGCAAGTTGCAGGGGGAAGGTGTTAGGAGGGCAGTGATCTGCATTTGTCCTGGTGACAGCTCTGGGGAGATGCCCCTCATGGTTTCTTCAGCTGGGACAGGGGTAGAGTCAGACCTGGGGTGCAGGTGCCTGTAGCTGACTCTCCTTGCCCATCTCCAGCCACTCAATAAAGGTTTGGTGCCCTTTGAGGTGCCCTTTGGGGTCCCATGTGGCCTCTGGACCCCAGAGGGTGTGTATTTCCTGTATGTCCTGGTCACATCTGTCTCTCCAAGGACTACCTGCTGCCTTTGGGTGTTTTGAAGGATGCTGTGTCCCTGGGCAGCTAAGGGGGAAAGGGGCAAGCCCTGGCCCTGTGCTGCAGCTGGGTGATTGAAGATGAGTTTCCAACCTGTTCCTCAATTTCTCTGTGAGAACCAAATGCTGCAGGCAGCTGGGTCAGGCCAGCATGGATTTGGAGGAGGCACGGGAAGAAGCAGAGGTACCAGCTGCCTGCAGAACTTGATGTGTCCAGAACTCATCTCTTCTCTGCTGGTCATTGGAGACACTTACCTGATCAAGAGGTTGCAGCTACGAAAGGGATGCTTTCTGTGACCCTTTAATGAATGCCTGGCACTCAGTGCTTCGTGCTGGGGTGGGGACAACTCCTCCTGCTGCAGCAGAGCAGCCAGGGTGCCTGGGTCTAAGCCCAGCTCCACCCTGCTGGCATTTGCCCGAGCTACCCCATGCTACGTGGTTTCTCTGCTTGTCATGGTTTCTTTCTTCATGCTGGCTGAGCTGGAAATGCTGAGGAAGGAACCCCCAGAGCAGCCTTTTGCATGGACAGGGCTGCTGGCCCTGCAGCCAGGCTGGGGGGGATCCCCCGCCCGGTGTGGAGTTATTGACACGGGCGCTACAGAAAACACTGCTGAGATTGTTCACACTAATGTTATTTAGCAGCAATATTTCCGTAATAAAAGAAATCAATGGGCAAGAGAAAAGACCTGTCCAGAGCTTTGATTTTCTTATTTTAATGGCATACTTATTTACTCCCACCAGCGTGCCCATCGGATTTTCATTACGCGGCCTTCGCTGTAAGTGGAGCGGTATTGATACGAGCTGCTGAGTTAGCGCCTTGCCGCGCGGGCCAGCTCGGGTGGGACTGCTCGTGTGCCCCAACGGGGCCCTGCCAAACCCCGGGGAACAGCCTGGTGGGGGCCAGAGAGCCTGGCAGCCACAGGAACACACATATGTGTACACAGAGAGCCTGCCCATGCGTGCACACACACACAAACACAGCCCGCCTGTCCATGAGCACACAGGGCTGCACACCTGCTGCCATGTGCACTGCAGGCTGTGCACACGCACAGGTGTGACACACGTGTGTCACCTGCATGGGCACGCACACACAGAGGAGCAAAACTCTTCTGGCTACACCCACGCACACACATGTCCTACCCACATGTGCCCCAGCACTCACACACCTGCAGTTGCTCTGTACAGACAGATGCCTGTTTATTAATGTGTGATAAATGCCTGTTTATAAATGTGATGCCATTTTTAAATGTGTGCCAGCCCCACCTGAAAACTGTTCTACCTATATGCACACACAATCTGTGAACACAGCCATGCGTGATGTGTCTGACAGCATACGTGTGCACCTGTGTGTGTGTGTGTGTGTGCAAACCTCTCAAAACCACGCGCTGTGCATGGGTCCAAACATTCTCAGGGGGCCACACTCAGCACTATCCCTCAAAAGGATGGAGCTCCCTGAGCTCCGGGATTGCCTATGGAAGCAGGGACCTGGCACCAGCCCAGGCCTTTGGTCACCAGTGACTGCAGTGGTGAGAGGAGTAACAGCACCATCTTCTGCCAATCCCGGGAGCTGAGGCAGGGCTGATCCTGCCCAGCGACATATTCCCAGCTCCCAGGACCTTGAGTGGGATGATACCAGCTTCCCCGGGGACACCCAGCTGTCAGCAGTACTGCTGTGGAGGCTGCAGCTGGCCTGCAGCTGCCCTGCTGCAACTGTGCCAGGGCTCAGCAGAGACTCACCCAGAAACCCAAGTATGTGGGATGAACAACTTTATTACTGTTATCTCTTTTCAGGTAGCAAATTAAGAACTAGCCCATGTGTAGGGCTGCTGGTCAGCAGAACAGGGACAGTCCGGGGAGCAGGAGAATCAACATGCTACAGGCCTACGTGGCCAGGAACACACTCGTGTTTGGCAGCAGAATGGAGGTGAAAGCCCTCCACCAAGCAGTGAGCTCACACGGATCTGACCACAGGGGTGCAAGCAGGGTGCACATCTGGGTTTGGCTGGAGGATTACAGCACTCTCTTGGCAGCCGGGATCCCATGCCGGGAGCCGAGCAGAGTGGCTGTCCCCAGGGGGTCTCACAGCCAGGGGAAGCGTTTTGAGGGGCGAGATCCCATCCTGAGCTAGTACAGACATTGGGCACTCGAGGACACTAGGTGTGTGCATAGCCAAGAGGCCACGCAGAACGGGGTCTCCATTAAGGCGACAGACGGTGGGTTTCCCCCTTGGGGGGCACTGCCTGGAGAGCACTGGGGGGAAGTGACCCTTTTCCAGCCCCAGCCATCCCCGAGGGCAGGTGACACACAGGGGAGCAGGGGGCCCTCCAGCACAGAAGCTGGGCTGTGGGGAAGTGACCCTCTTCCAGCCCCAGCCACCCCTGAGGGCAAGTGACACACAGGGGAGCAGGGGCCCTCCAGCACAGAAGCTGGGCATCCCCCCACTGCTGGGGGTCTCAGCGCAGATCCTGCCCTGTGCCAGGGTGACACTGTGTGCTGCCAACCCTCATCAGCAGGGATGGAGCCATGGGAGATGCTGCCAGCTGGACACAGTGCTTTGCGCTGCCCGCAGTCCGGCAGGCTGCCAGAGACAGGGGGGACTCACTGGCCGACCTCTGCAACGGGTGCTCTGGTCTGGTCTACCCTGTGCACCCTGCCCCGAGGGCAGCATCGTTCCCCTGATGTCTCAGGAGCTGAGGAAATCTTTTGGGGCCCGGGGACAGCCAGCTCCAGCTTCTCTCCTGCTGCATGCTGAGGGCACACAGGGGTGTTTGTACACTGCAAGGCCACTCCAGCCCCGAGGGATGGAAAAGCAGGACATGACTCCGATAGAAAGGAGGGACAGGCAGGTAGTAAAGAGAACTGACGTTCTGTGTTGCTGTGACTGCCAAGGTCCCTCTGTCCTGGCACCCTGCTAGCCTGTGGGGAAAGGACAGAACAATTTGGGGAAGGCACAGGGGGGATCTCCTGCTGCCTCTGCTAGAACCTGGGGAGGAAGAGAGAACGGCTGGGAGGAAAGGAGCCAACTGGGCTCAGCAGGGTGCCCTGGTGAGACGGGCTCAGCACCCAAAGGTGCTGAAGAAGGCATTTGCTTCCAGGAGCAGCCCCTTTGCGTAGACACGCAGGGTGTAGAAGAGGGTGACGAAGTCCTGAGTGCTGAAGAGGGTGTCAGCCAGGGCGAAGGCGAGTGTGGAGGGGATGAAGCCCCGGCCGTACTCCACCATCCAGGTGCCTGCACTCCACTGCACTGACGTGGCCTCTCCCGCCTGGTGCACGATGGTGTCGCCTGCCAAAACACACAACCAGCACAGCTCCCAGGTGCTGCCCCACATCACACCCAAATGGGAGACATGGGATTAGGGCCTGCAGGGTTGAGCCTTCCAACCCCACCCAAGCCTTGCTCCCTTTTCTCTTACTGCCACCCACAGAGATGCTGGGATGTGCTACTGGGGACCCAAACTGCTCTACCCTGAGCTCTTGGCTTCTGTCAGCTCTATGACAGCAAGCGGCTGTGCCCCAAAGACATGGATGCAGCCCACAGGTCACCATAGTGCTGCACTTACCTGGATAGTAGATCTCACTTCTGGTGGTCCCCTCCTTCCATTGCCGGAATGTCCCCGAGATGACAGTGTCAGAAATATCTGCCCAGTAGCGACCTGTGGGAGGACAGACAACACTGCCTCAGTGTCTCCCTGCCAGGGACAGCACAGGAGCCCAGGTCTGAATCGTGGAGCAGGAGGGTCAGCATGGCAACCCCACTGCCTCAATACACCAAGAAGTGCCAATAGCTCTGGTACCCTCACTGTCTGTATGAAGAGCCATATACCACCAGCCAGGGCTGCTCAGTATCCTTAAGCCCCATTATTTCAAACTTCTTTGGCATTTGCTGCCTCCTGAAGTACTGGGAGATGAGATGTCTGCTGTCGCCTGCCAGCTGGATGCAGAGAGTCCTGGCCACACAGCATGTGGCACGGGCAAATGCTGCAGGACACCATGGGGGCTGGTCCCCTTGCAGGGAGGGTTTGGCCAGCATCATTCACCCCATACAAGTAGTGAAGCAGTGGGCTCCCTGAGCTGGGCACATCATGGCCAGCTGCACCTGAAGAATGGAGTAGAAATAGCTTGGAGAACTCCCCTACCAGCAGCCTGGTCCCCCTGCTCACCTGAGTGTCCCCCGGTGTCGACAGCTGTCCCGAAGAGCAGCACATACTCGGTGAGCGAGGCATGGAGCAGGCACATGGAGCCCATCCACCCGCCCGCATTCACAAACACCCACTGCAGGTCCTCGTCTGGCAGGATGTGGCCTGGGTGCTTCTTTCGCAGCTCCACAATGATCTTGGAGAAAGCCAGCTCATGGTCCAGCCCTGCAGCACCCACGGTCACTGTAAGTCCCTGGCACAGAAAAAGCTCAGCCAACCAACCCTCCGAATCCCCTGCATAACCACAGGGTTTCAGTGCACCCTTGGAGAGGTCTGCCTAGGGAAGATATCTCCTCTCTCCAGCCCTCAGCTCCCGCTGACCCAGCTCCACCGCCTGCCTGGATGGTGATGGAGGATAAGCAGTGCCGAGTGCTCCAGTCCTACAGCCCATCCCAGGTGCTGGGCAATATGGAAGATCTAAATAACGTGACAGTGCCCTTGTCCTGGTGAAATGCAGCCCTGACCAAACTCCCTGTGCCCTATGGGGACAGCCCTCTTCTGAAGCTCCGGGCCTGACCCACCTGGGGCTTCAGCCCCAATCAGGTTGGATGATGCCGCTACCCTGGTCCCCTTTGCTCCAATCCCATTTTCCACCCCGCTTTCCCCGCGTTCCCTGTTGCTATTCCCCGGTACCGATCCCTTCCCTCTCCCAGTCTCCCTGCCCAGGTCCAGCTCCCTGCCTCTCCCTGACCCTAGCCCCATTCCCCCCATGATCCCGGCCCCCCTGTACCGAATTCTCCTCGGTCCTTCGTCCCCGCTACGCCTCCCCCCTCCAGCCCAGGCCGCCGCTCCCCGCTACGTCCCCGGCTCCTCTCTCCATCCCCAACCCCTTGCCTGTCCCCATCCCCACCGCCATCCCTCCTCGGCCCCGCTCCCCGCCGCCCCTCCGCGTCCCCACGGGCGGCGCGTACCCGCGTGGTGCCGGGCGAGCTGTGCGATCTCGGCGGAGCTGAACTCGTACCGCTTGGCCGCCAGCCACCCGCGCAGCCCCTGCAGCACCAGCGCCAGCGCGCCCAGCGCCAGCCCGGCCCGCAGCGCCCGCCGCCCCCACACCGCGCCCATGCCGCGCTCCGCTGCCCCCGGCACCGGGAGCGGGACCCGGGCCGGGACCGCCCCCGCCGCGGCCACGCCACGCACGGCCCGGGCGGCTGCGCCGGCGCGGCGGGGCGGGGCGGGAGCCTGAGGGGGCCGAGCCCGCCGAGTTTCCGGGAGTGGGGAGGCATGGAGCCATCGCTGGCAGGGGCGGTGGAGGCGGGCGACCGCTTCCGCGCCAGCGGTACGGATGGGGTTGCCTTCCTCCGTCCTTCCCCTCAGACCCCCAGCGGGGCCCAGCACGACCCCGGGAAGCAGGAGCTGCGGGGACCTTCCCTGCCCAGAGCCGCGGGGCTCCCGGGCTGGGAGGAAGGGGTGAAGCTGAGGGAGGGCATCAAGTGGCGTGTATAAGGCAGACCGTCCTGCTTGCCCCGTGAGGGGGCCTGGCGGGTGGGGTGCGTGTACCCCCATTGCAGGGGGTCTGCCACTGCTCTCCCTCCCCACAGAGCACCAGCACGTTCGGTACAACCCGCTGCGGGACGACTGGGTGCTGGTATCGGCCCACCGGGTAAAGCGCCCTTGGCAGGGTCAGCTTGAGAAGCCGCCCCCCGAGGATGTGCCCCGCTGGGACCCCAAGAACCCCCTCTGCCCTGGGGCCACCCGGGCCAACGGCGAGGTACCACCAGGGGCACAGGGACCCGGGCTGCCCCTGCCACCCCCTCCTGCCTTCATGCCATCTCTCACTCCGGCAGGTGAACCCCAAGTACGAGGGTACTTTTGTCTTCCCAAATGACTTCCCTGCACTGCAGCCCGATGCTCCAGAGCCTGGTAACTTTGGGGAGCAGAGCAGGCTGCTGGGGACCCCCTGACTTGGGGCCTAGGGCTGCTGCAAGGCGGCCTGGAGAGGCTTGGGTTCTGCCTCAGTGCCTTCTCCCTGTCCCCTCTCTGTTCTTCCCCAGATGACAATGATCACCCCTTGTTTCGAGCTGCCCCAGCCCGGGGTGTGTGGTAAGTACCTACATGGCTCCGGCGGGTTTGGGACACAATTTGTCAAAAACCTGTGGAATGGTGCTGGGCTGGGTCTGCTCCCCTCATCCAGTGCCTGTACTGTACGCACCTCCCCAGTTTTGGGGTCATTCTGGGGGTTTTGGCCCTGTCCCTTGTCCCACGTCCCACTGCACCCAGCAAAGCTGTGAGGGTCTCTGGAGACACCTGCAGTCACAGCTAAGCGTGTTTCCCCTACAGCAAGGTGATGTGTTTCCACCCCTGGTCGGACCTGACGCTGCCCCTCATGTCCCTGCCAGAGATCCGGGCTGTCATCGATGCGTGGGCAGAGCTGGCGACGGAGCTGGGTGCTTCCTACCCCTGGGTGCAGGTGTGGGGCTGCCGGGGGCTGCTCTTTTGTGGGTGAAGGTGGGAGGCCAGCACTGGGTACTCTGGCAGTACTTGGGGTTGGGAGCATCCTAGTTGTGTGTGGGTCTCTTGCTTTGTGTCCTTTGTGCTCTTTGAGCCCTGCTGAGCCTTTCCACACCCATGAGTGTGAGGCTCTGTCCTCCTGCAGGTTGCTTCCCTGCTGTGCTGGGGACACCACGACAGCCTGCAGCGGGGGCCCTGTGGCTGGGGCCTGCTGGCTGTACCTCTTCCTCTTCTCACAGATCTTCGAGAACAAGGGAGCCGTGATGGGCTGCTCCAACCCGCATCCCCACTGCCAGGTGAGGCTGTCCCACCTCTGACCTGGCTAAACTATAAGTCCCTGTGGTGACCCTACAACAAACCCTGAGGGCACATGTGAACGGCAGTCGCTCTGCCCTGGTCCCGAAGCTTTTTACAGTGAGGATACCCCTGTGTCTGTCCTGTCACCCTCCCTCTGGGGACTGTCCCCTGTGGCTGTCGCATGCCAGACTCTCCACCTGGTGGCAGTAGGGACCTCCAGATGAGCAGCATGACTGGGGATACCCCTGCAAATGAGGAGTAGGAGCACCTCAGTCCTGTGCCCTAATGTCTCTCCCAGGTGTGGGCCAGCAGCTTCCTTCCAAACGAGGCGAGCCTGGAGGACCGGAGCCAGCGCCAGCATCTGAGCCAGCATGGCGTGCCCATGCTGCTGGAGTATGCTGAGCAGGAGGCTCGCCGAAAGGTGAAGGCATGGATGTTGTCTGTATCCCCTCCCTGGGAGCTGGCTGTGTGCTGGGCTGGGCTCCCCAGCCCTCAGGAGATGGACCCTAGGAGTGCCCTAGGGAGGTGGGACTTTGTGTGTCCCCGTCAAGCACCGCGTGTAACACTCCCCAGGCTGGGGACAGAGTGGCTGGACAGTGGCCAGGCAGAAGGGGATGTGGGGGTGCTGGTTGGCAGCTGACTAAACATGAGCCTGCAGTGTGCCAGGTGGCCAAGAAGGCCAATGGCTCCTGGCCCATATCAGGAATAGTGTGGCCAGCAGGACAAGGGAAGCCATTCTTTCCCTGTACTTGGCACTGGTGAGGCTCCACCTTAAATGCTGTGTCTAGTTCTGGGTCCCCAGTTTAGGAAGGACGTTTTGATGCTCAAATTCATCTGGTCAAAGGCAGCAAGGCTGGTGAAAGATCTGGAACAGAAGCCCTATGAAGAAGCTGAGGGAGCTGGGTGTTTAACTTGGAATAAAAGGAGGCTTAGGGGAGACCTTATCACTCTCTGCTACTCCCTGAAAGGAGGTTTTAGTCAGTGGAAGTTGGTCTCTTCTGCCAGGCAAGCAGTGGCAGGACAAGATGACACAGTCTTAATCTGTGCCAGGGAAGTTTAGGCTAGACATTAGGAAAAAATTCTTCACTGAAAGAGTGTTTGGGTGTCGGAATGGGCTGCCCAGGGAGGTGGTGGAGTCAAAAAGACTGGGTGTGGCATTCAGGGCTATGGTTTAATTGATAAGGTGGTGTTAGATCATAGGTTGGACTTGGTGATCCCAGAATTCTTTTCCAACCTGGCTGATTCTGTGATTCTGTGCCCTGCAGGAACGGCTGGTGGTGGATAATGCAGACTGGCTGGTTGTGGTGCCATACTGGGCCACCTGGCCCTACGAGACCCTGCTGCTGCCCCGCCGCCATGTCTGTCGCCTCCAGGACCTCAGTGACAGTGAGAGGGACAGTGAGTGGCCCTGAGCTTTGTTGTACCCCATCCCACATCCTTTGGGCTTGACCTTTGTTATGAGGCAGCCGTGCTGGTGCTGGAGGGCTTGTGTCCTTGGGGTGGGAGCTGCCGAACGTAGCTGGGGAGGGGAATGGCACCTCTGTTATGTTAGGATAAGAACTAGTTGTTAGGATAAGAACTAGCACTTCTCGTGGCACTTGTGTCTTTTTGGGGTGGTGAAGCATGTGGTGCTCCCTGTTTTGGTGGGAGGCTTCTCCTGCTGCATTGCTCTGGCTCCCTGTGTGAGTGGGGAGGGGTGAGAATTCCCAAGTGCATCCCTCCTGCCTGTACCTGATGTCCACCCAGGGACAGGTGCTGCGGGTGACCCCACTGCACACCTGGCAAGCTGCTGGCTAGTTCGGGGTGTGAATCACTGTCACTTTCCTGCAGGCCTGGCCTCCATCATGCAGAGGCTGCTCATCAAGTACGACAACCTCTTCGAAGTCTCCTTCCCCTACTCCATGGGCTGGCACGGTGAGTGGCGTGGCTCTGCAATCCTCTCATCCACATCCCTGTCTCCTCCCTGTGGTCATGTGGTGCCTCTACCTCTCAGAACCTCTGCTGGTCAGAGTGACCCCAAGATGTGTTAGAAAGTCTCTTTTCCCAGGCAGGCAGTCAAAGAAGGAGTCAGAACTCTTCAGTTCTCTGTCGCAAAGTTGTTTATTGTTTCTTATCTATAAAATTCTTTCTCTGGCCTGCCAAGGTCCGCTCAGCAAGACAGTCAGAGGCACTCTGCCTCCCCCCGGGGTGGTGTTATCTTTTTATACTAAAAACCACGTGTACAATATTTACAATTACTTTCCAATACCTATCACCTGTGTTAGACAGTGAACTTCTACTCTAAACCAATCTAAAAGTGCCAACATCACAGCAGAAGATGGAGGCCAAGAAGAAAAAGGAGAAAGGCTGGACACCCCCAGATTCTTCCATCTTGCCCCCTGAACTTCCATTCTAAAAACCCCAAAAAATCTATTTTTCACCCTGTGACAAACTGATTATTATTCTGCTTACACTTTTGTGGCTTGCAGATCCTCCTATAAAGTTGTTAACTTTTTCCATGGATCATAATCAAGGTCTTGGGCTCTCTGAGGGGTCTCTGATCCCCCTAGCAGGGGTCCTGGCAATCCAGGACAGCCAAAGGGATGTCCTGAATTCCGACATCTACCCCCTGCAGGAGCCCCCACAGGCTCCTACCTGGAGGAGGATTGCAGGCACTGGCAGCTCCATGCCCACTACTACCCCCCTCTGCTGCGCTCCGCCACCGTCCGCAAGTTCATGGTGGGGTACGAGATGCTGGCCCAGGCGCAGAGGGACCTCACCCCGGAGCAGGTGAGTGCAGCTCAGGGGGATTGGGGCACCCAGGACGCTGTGTGCCAGGACTGTTCCTGCAAGCAGCCCCTGGCTGTCCCTTGTGCTGTGCCCTGCAGGCAGCCGAGCGCCTGAGGAGCCTCCCTGAGGTGCACTACAAGAAGAGGGCTGAGGAGATGTGATGGGAGCAGCAGAACATCCAGTCCTTGGATGTGAGTGTGAGAGGGGGTCCTATTGCTTCCCACCACTACCTGAAAGGAGGTCATAGCCATGTGGGGGTTGGTCTTTTCTCCCAGATAACTAGTGATAGGACAAGAGGGAGCAGCCTGAAGTTGTGCTAGGGGAGGTTTAGATTGGATGTTGGGGAATATTTCTTCACCGAAAGGGTGGTCAGACATGGGAACAGGCTGCCCACAGAAGTGGTGGAATCACTGTTGCCTGGGAGTATTAAAAAAAAACCAAACGTGTAAATGTGGCACTTAGGGACGTGGTTTAGTGGTGGGCTTCACAGTGCTGCACTAAGAGTAGAGGTTTCAGATTTTATCATTTGGTGTGCTCAGTGAGGCCACGAGTCAGCTGGGAGTGGTGACAACTGAAGTCTGGGAATTCATGTCGGTTGTGAGCCCTCTGAACTCCCAGATTCTGTCATGGCTTGGCTGGTTTTTGGGACTGGTTTTGCCTGTTTGGGGACTCAGGGTCTAATCCTGTGGCATCCTTGTGTAGGTGGTGTTTCTTGTCTCTTTCACCATCCCAGGCTCTGTGTCTGCCCCCATGCTCCTTCCACCACTAAAGGACTTACCCTCCTTACCAGTCCAGTCTCACTGGTGGGGCTGGAATTTCTTCTGCCCCGTGGAGGGGCACAACCCCCCTGGACAATAAAACCTGGAAGCAAAGTAACTCTGCCCGTGCTTTTGTGGCTCTCAGTCCTAGGTGGGAGGTTTGGGGTCCCTGGTGAAGACCCCAGCTGCTGCTGGGGGTAACACGGGGCTCAGGGGTTGTGCTGGCAGCCCAATACTTGTTGCTTGTGTCCCTGCCTCTGCGCTGCCTCCTCTTCCTCCCTGGGGGGAGCTCTGAGTCTGTCTCTGAGAGCTGCAGGCTTGTGGAAGAGTGGAAAATAGAGGAAGAATGGGTGCAGCCCAAGGCCTAGCTAGCTGCTGGGAGAGGGCTGAGCCCTGGCAGACTTGCTGCATGGAGGTTGCTGGCTGAGATGCTCAGCCCTGGAGCTGTTCCTCCTCATCCTCTCTGGCTGGGACTGCTGGGTGGCAGCCCTCAGCTGCCTGCTGCAGGTATAGGGGCTGCTGGGATGCAGCCAGGGGATGGTTCATCACTCACCTGGGGGCTGCCAGGGAGCCCAGCTCTCTTCCTGGTACTGCTCCCCCCTTCACTGTGCCCACCCATGCGGTGGGATAGTGGCAGCCTGGACCCTGGGCCGAGCTGGGGGATATTCTATTCACCTCTCTCTTTGCTCCCTTCCCTTTCCCTCCAGGAAGGCCCTGGGACTCCAGGGGTAGGTGATAGACAGTGATGCCAACCACAGCTGATGTGGGGGGATGCCAAGCACTATGAACCCTCACACCTTCACAAATAGTTTTTATTTGTCACTAATGAGCCATTCTCACAGCTCTCTAATGAAACCCCTTTCCTTGTCCAGTCTGTGAGTGTGCTCCTGGGGTCTAGAAATACCTTGCAAGGAGAGAAATGTTCTCCTCCTGCCTCCAAGACAACAGTCCATGGGGAGGGCTGTGTTCCCTGTGCCCCATCCATGTGTTGCTGCCCATGGAGCTAGGACAGATGGAAGGGCCTCCTGCCTGTGTGATGCTGGACGCCCTCCTACCTGCTGGTCCTATCTTTGTGTCAGATTGCCTCATCCCAGAGCCCACAAATGCCCTCACCTGACCTCAGCAGTGCCCAGGTGCTCCGGGGCTATGGGGAGGAGCTGGTGGCTGACCCTTGAGCTTGGAGCTGTCGTTGTACACAGCATCCCTCACCAGGGCATCAGGGCTGCCCAGCTGGGAGTCTAGCCTCTTGCAAAACTGATTTCTCCCCTCCTGGGACAAACAGAGTCCGTTTTTTTCTCCACCACCATCTCGACCATGAGCCTTTTCCATTGCAACAAGTGCCTCTGCTCCAACTTCCCAACTTCCCCGCTTATTCTCCAGGGTCCTGGGGAAGTGGCAACAAATTGCCTTAAGTGTGGCAATCCAGCTCGGGGTAATTAGCCGCTGAACCGGTTGTAACGAAGCTAGTCATCTCCCGGCACGGGCAGTTAGCTGTGATTTAATGGCCCGGCGGCTCCCAGCCCCGGGCTGCCGCGCCTCGGCCCGCGGCCGTAAATGAAACTCGCAGTTAAGTCAAGCAGTATTAAACTTTACAGTCGCCGTCTCTGAAAACGGGACTCTCTCCAATAAATCAGGGCAAGTGGGATTGTAAATATCGAGGCAGGATCCATATTGCTTAATTAAACAGCACCTAATGAACAGCCTGTTTGTTGTGTTGTGATTTAGGATGGAGGCTGGGGAGGCAGTGTGTGCTCAGGGGGGCTGGTGCCCGTGCCACGGTGCCCTCTGTTGCAGGTACCAGCTGCTCAAGTTTATCTGCTGCTAAAAAATCTCAGAGGTGGCCTGAGAATTAGTTTGGGGGTTTTTTTAGTTAAAACGAAATCCCCCCCCTCTGAAATCTGAAACAGGCTGAAAGCAGCAGTTAGAGGAGGAAGAGGAGGGGGTACACCCAGGTGTGAGAGCTTGACCCTGGTTATGCTGAGCTCCCCACTTCCTCACAACAGCTCCAACCTCCTCTTGCCCTCATACTTTTGGCTTGTGCACGGGGGTGTGTAAGGATGGAAAGGGGCAATGAGCCTTTCCGGTGGCACAGGGAGGCATCAGGGTGGTGCAAATGGAGCTGCTGGGGGTGCAAAGGCACTGCAATTCATAGGAACTATCGCTGGTGTGCTGTAAAGCCCCAGGCCTTTTATATTTTGGTAGTTGCAGTCCACTTGTAATTAAAAAGTGATTTATTGCAGGAGATTAAAAAACTCCAGCTGGTGAGGGATGAGGGAGTGGAGGGCCTGCGGGGTACCCAGCTGTTGTTCTTGACCCAGGAGCATCAAAGGGGAGCTGAGGCCCATTGGGATTCCCCATAAGGACGTTCCTTGATGCTGTTTCATTTCTCCAGGGGAGCTGCTGGAAATCCTGGGAGAAGTATCTCTGTGACTGGGTCATCCTTGTCCCGAGTCTCCATCTCCCAGCATGAGGGCAGAAATGTCCTCTGCAATCACTGCCCTGAGCTGCTCTGAAAGGATGAACAGGGCAGGTGGTGGGGAGAGTGAGAGGAACTCAAGCATGGAATTAATGGGTTAAAATCCCCTGGGGTCCCATAGGGGTGTTTGCACCCTCTGTGGTGCACTAATGGGTCTGTGAGGGATTAGGAAAGGGACAGAATGCTGCTGTGCCAGGCTGGCACAAGCTGTGCTCTGCCAGGAGAAAGGGATACACCCAGTGTGGGATCCAGATATACAGAGACGCTTGACAGGGTGTGGCCAGGAATTTATTTTCATTTTTGTCCCATTTTCGGATGTCACTGAAAGAAATTGGTCAATCTGCCAAGGGATGTGGCTTCCCCAAAGCTCCTGGAGCTTTGTCTCTACGGAAATGAGCCAATGTCCTTGCCCAGGTTGTAGCAGTGGCTGTGTCCCACATTGTGCAAGTTTGGGAGACCCAGAGCACCCCCAGCTCTGACACTGACTCCGTCTGTGGCCATGGTTGAGCCCTGGGGTGCCATTCTGGGAGGCACCTGGTGGACAGACACCATTTGGCACGAGCACTTCATGGTGGAGGGCAACTGCTGGGGACAGGTTTATGCCCTTTGGTTGAGTGTCCATGTCCTTGGCAGCTGCCAGAGGCTGCAGAGCTGCAGACAAGCTGCAGATCCTGAGTCCTACCCACCCCTCCATCTCTTCCCCCTGCCTTCCAGTGCAGGTGAGACAATAAAATGTTGAGCAAAGGAAGGTAATCTGTGACCAGTGTGTTTTAATCAGAAGGAAAGGTTATGAGTTGAGGCCTGCTGGCTCCTGCCATGCTGCAGTTTTACTGTCCTTCCTGATACCAGGTTAATGGCTGTCATTTCATTCCAGTTTTACTATTGGATTTGCCCTTATTGTTGAGTTTCTTCTTGTCTGCTGCTGCCTGCAACCCCACTTCCAGAAGAACTTGAGTTGCAAGGATTCCTGCTGTCACTGACTGGGGGTTTTGGCAATGGAATTAGAAGAAATTAGTAAAATTTTAGGGAGGAAGAGAGGAAGGATGAAGGGAAGAAATGGAGGAAAAGAGAGAGAAAGGAAGGAGAGGAGGGTGGGAAACAGGGAGGGAGAGAAAGCTAAATCCCTCACATTTCCATTTAAAAGACATCATCAGGCACTTACCATGAAAACAATTAATAATTTTAAGCAGATGCTAAACACTCTGGTGCCCTGAAGCAGGCAGGCTCTGTGCAGTGGGGAGATTTTGTGTGCCAGGAGAATGCAAATCAAAACCCAGACCCCTTTTAGATCTTGTCTTAGTTGGCCACGCAAGAGCAGCTGGGGCAGCAAAGAGCACTCACTTTGTCCTGGGCCACGTGGTGCACCTTCCCTGGGTTTGGCAGCTTCCTTGGCAGGAGTTCAGACTAGCAGGAAACAATTTTGGAGGTGTTTTGCCCCTGTTTCAGACAGCTGGCAGTTTTCCTCTGCTGATGGTCCCTGAGTGCTTCCTGGAAGCCATTTTCAGAGCCCTTGGGCACCATGAGTTGTGGGATGGCTGTTGGTCCCAGGTGGACACAATGGGATGTCTGGATGCTGCCTAGCAAGCTCTGCATGGACTTCAGGATGGCAGCCCCAAGGCTGGAATTTAGTTGGTTAATCATCTGATAATACAGGTAATTTAATACTGTCACATTACAACATCCATGTGGTCAGTAAGCACTGGCCCCCCAAATTTCCTGCATGCCTGCTGTTGGGGAGGTACCTTGGGGCTTCAGCTCTTGGCAGTGAGTCCTGTCATTGCATGAGGTTTGAGCCTTTCCCATCCTGGGACCCCATCCCAGAATCAGCAGCCTCTGTTTGGAGCAAGAGAAACACCAGGAGCATCCAGCATTCCAGCTGGATTCAACCCAAACAAAACTGTCTGGGGACAGAGGGGAGCAGGTGTGGGTGGGAGAGCAGGGGACTGCTCTGGGATAGGGGCAGCCAAAGGGAAGGTGATCTTTGCAAAAGGGAGTTATCCACCAGCAGTGCAGCTGCTGGGAGAAGGCTGGAGCCCTTGCAGCACCCAGGATCTGGCATGGCTGGGATTGGGCACCCACTGCTGCTGGAGCCAGCTGTGAAAGCTCACAGACATCTGTGCCTGCCCTGTGGGGAGGGATCTGCCTTCATCCTGATGTTCCAGAGAAGAAATCTCTATATATTTGCTAATTATCGTGAGTGATACTGAAAAGTCTGCTACAAAGCCCCAGGAGCAGCAAGACATTGCAATGCCAGGATGGATCCGAGGTGGAAAATCATCCCCTGGGGTGTGCCTGGGCATGAGGTGACTCCTGCCAGAAGCAGAGCCCTTGGGAGAGAAGAGGAAGTGGAGAGATAATAATTAGATGCTAATAAGTGAGTAATTAATCCTTGGTGCCCCTGGGGCTCCCTTGCCCAGCTCCAAGCCAAACCACTTGCTTCAACGTACCTAAGGTGGTTTGAGCCCCACAGGATATGGCTGGAGCAGGGATGAACCAGCTGCTGCTCCCCACACATAGCGACAGGCTCAATCTCACAAAATAGCCTCATAAATTGCCCTTGTGAAACAAAGCTCGACAAATAAAAGCTGAAAGTCCATTTGCAGCCTGTTAGCTTTTAGTGTTTAATCCC